TAGGCTGCGCTTAAAGACTTTAAAAAAAAAATATCTACCATAAATCATAGTCTTGTTAAAATATTTTGTTCTTTTCTATATTACTATGTCAAATTTAAGGGTTCTTTTCCTTTAATTGTAATCTTTAGTTTCTTCTGTTTGTCTCTAGTGCCGAACTTTAAATGTCTTATGACTTTTTTTAAAAAAAGATCATTCAAAACAAAAATATTTCCCCATGGGATGATTTCTTATAATTCCAAAATCCACCTGGACCCTTAGTCCATTTACGACTTACCAGAATCAAAGTTCTAATCATCCTTTTGCTATTATTCCAAAAATAATTTTGGTTTAGGTCCTTAAACATAGTTAAAACTGCTTTCACTAAAGATTGAAGGAAACTCATCCTGTGCTGCCATAATGATGGATCCAAAGATTTCTAGCCATTCTTCTAGCCATTCTAGCCAAAGGTTTCTTTTTAGCTATTCTAGAATAGCTAAAAAGCAATTAGCAAGAATTATCTAAAGGTGGTTAGCAAAGGAACTAATGAATGAAGGAGAATATACATGTCCCAGGATAATGTTGCAGGATCTAATCTGGGTCGGTCACTGGGACCAGAGGTTTAGTCTGTTGAGCTTTCGGATTCATGCTGGGGCCCATTCTTCAGTGAACTTCTGTTTAGCAGAGTTTGTGCTGTTCTGTGTGTGGTATTTACAGTGCCTGTTGTATGTGGCGTTTAGGTGTTGATCAGGGCGTGTTGATAGCTCATCAATGACTAAAAAGCCAGCCACCAACACATCCCAGTCAACATCTAAAAACGCCACATTCAACAGGCACTATAAATACCTCACAGAGAACAGCACAGACTCTGCTAGATAGAAATTCCCTGAGGATGGGCTCCAGCACCAATCCGTAAGCTCGGAAGACAAAACCTTTGATCCCGGTGACTGACCCAGATTGGATCCTGCAAACAAGGAACTATGTGAACTAGTGTCCTTTTGAAAGGCAACAACCATGCTTTGAGAGAAGATGATTTTCCCCTTGTTTTCCAGAGCTCTAAATTTGATGGAGACCACTGTCTTGCATCTCTTCATAAAGAGCAATCGCATGGAGGACTTCTGGATGACTCCAATCCTTTCCTTGTCCAGAGAGGAATTAGAAAGGGATGATCTATTCACTGGCTCTTTACTTCACCATACTTGTTGGTTTCACTTTTAGCAGAACTTTCTGAAGTTGCCATTTCTTCCTTGGAAGACTTTGTTACTGTCCTTGTTACTTCTACAAAGATCTTACAAAGCTTTCTTATGTTGCTTATGTTGAGCATCCAGTACTTTCCAAATGATACTGTCAGTGAAACATTTAAACAAGCCGCCACTCACATCTTCCTGCTGGGAATGAATTGAAAAGTTTAAGCAAACTACAGAAAAAGTAAAAAGGATTCTTTCCCCTCAAGCATAATGGAGACAAATGGGTAGAGAGGTCTCAAAAATTGACCTTAACTACAATAAACTGCTCACAGCATGACTAGCAATCCATCAATTTGCTCCATTTTTGCCAGAATGCCACAGTGGAAAGCTATAATATTTCTCAAACTGTTGTTAACCAGAACAAACTCATTATTGGTCTACTGAGGTAACCCAAAAAGAATGGCAAAATAAGTTTAAACAACTTGCTTTTAGGTTGCAATCTTACCACAATTATTTGGAAATAGGTTCCACTGACTCAATAGGACTTATTTCTGAATCAAATTGCACAGGCAGAGCCTTAGGGAACTTTTATACATGGATCTGGGGATTTACTTAATTATTCTCTTTCTTCTGCATTATATATAGGTGTCCCAGTTTGGTGTCAGGTGATTTGACTATCCATATTCCCAAGTGCCATCAGCTATAAAGAAAGGGAAGGGGGGAAATATCTGTTTTACTACATTAATTAATCAATCTATGGCTTGAGCATTAGAGGTTCAGCAAATATTTAGAATTAAGGCAGTTTAAAAAAGTTGCAAGGGCCTTTTATCAGTGGACTCCATCCAGTGTTTCCCCCTCTATTTTGTTATCGTGTATATAATATAGATCCATCTATCCATCTATCTGTCTCTCTGTCCATCCATCCATCCATTCATCCATCCATCCATCCATCCATCCATCCATCCATCCATCCATCCATCCATCCAATCTGAGAGTTTAAAAACTAAACTGAACTAAACTGAAACCAGAACTTCATGATAAGCAGTGTTCCGATATCTCAGGGGTGTATGTATATACACACACACACATATCTACACATACATGTACATATGGCATGGTGGCCTAGTGTTGAACACAGTCATCTCCCATCAGGTTGAGGGTTCAATCCTAGGTAGCAGTGGATGTTTCTCTCCTAAGGCGCAAAGAAAAAAAAATCTATGAATACTGTGTAGGTGGCACGAAGGGCATCTGGTCAGTAAATGCTCAGCTCCATCCAGTCGCTCCAACTCTACCTCGAATTAAGGGATTATAGGGTCATAAACAGGAATATGTTTGTGTATGTGTGTGTATATGTGTCTGGTGTACACAGATAATTGTGTAGAACTAATCTAGACCAGGGGTGTCAAACTCACATCATCACATTGTTGTCACGTGATGTATCAGGACTTTTCCCCCTTCGCTAAACCAGGCATGGGTGTGGCCAGTGCGTAATGCATCTGCCCCATGGACCGGGAGTTTGATAGTCCTAATCTAGACTATATAAAATATATATCTATTCCAGACAGCTAATTTTTCGTATTTAGGGAAGATTTTAATATACTTAAAAATAGGTTGTTACCATAATGTATGCAAAATGAGGAGAGTAGTAAGAGTATGCTCAGTAATAGGTTGAGTGACATTTTAGAAATTCTCTTGAGTATTTAGTCTTGCTGGAGGGAAATACACTTTATAAAGATCACAGACATTCCCTGTGGAGACCTATAACCTTTCTTGAAGCTACTCACTAGCAACCAATAGTTTTGTTCTCTCTGCAAGAGAGACAATTGTAATTGGCTTAAATATATGCTAGCACAGCCTCAGGGAATACTGATAAAGGGCCCTTTAAAAGATAATTCAAGTATAGTTCAAAGCACTGTTAGCTGTATGTATAAAGTCAAATGCAGAAAACTGTTCATCTAGGTTTGTCCCATATATTTCATTCTAACATAATTTCTTTCTTCTCCCCTCCTTTAGGAATACCAGTTAAAGCATATGTGCATTTATTAACAATTTAATTTGTGCCACTATTATGGGGGGCGGGGGGTTTGGGATTTTCCAGAGGGGAAAAAATAGTATGAGAATACTAATATTTGATAAAATTGTTCAGCATCAGAATGAGTGAGGCAGTTGTGATTTTTTTTACATGTAGAGTTCTTTAGTGTAGAGTGCTTTTTATAGAAAAAATCAGAGTTACAAAGAAAAGGCAGAACTATCAACCAGGAATTTTAATATGTTAAATGTGTTTTGAAACAGTGTTAAAATTCAGAACTGGCCATCTGGATACTTCAGACAAGGGTCCAGAAATAGGAAGGACAACAAGTGTAAAGCAACTGATCCACAATACAATTAATCTCTTCTAAATGATTTTCTTGTCTGCATGTTGGACTAAAATTCTTCTGGCTTCTGTTGACCAGGTCGGCTGCCAATTCTGAATGTTTTGGTCCAATACTTCTGGTAAGCATTCAGAATGTGGGCAAAGTGTGGGTGAAATGCCTTGTAGAACCTATCAAGAACAATGCAGGAAGTCCTGGATTTACAATAATTGATTTAGTGACCGTTCCAAGTTAAAACGACACTGAAAATTATGTCTGTTTTTAAACACTTATGACTGTTGCAGCATGCCTATGGTAACATGATCAAAATTTGGATGCTTGGCAACTGGCCTGTATTTATGACGGTGGCAATGTCCCAGGGTCATGTGATCACCTTTTGTGACCCTTTGACAAAGTCAATGGGGAAGTTATTATTCTCTTTAACAACTGTGTTACTAATTTAACAACTGCAGTGATTTGCAAAAAAAAAAAAAATGTGGCCAGAAAATAGGGCAAACCTCTTAACAATTTTCTTGCCTGGCAACAGAAATGTTGGCTTCAGTTGTGGTCAAAAGGTAGACTACCTGTTGCAAAATGAAGAAAATGAAAATGTGCAGTTCATTCCACGCAGGGTAGCTGTTATTTGAATTTGATTTAAAAAAATTGTTTCTATCTTGTGTCCCTCCTTCTCCTTTGTAAGACAAAGGTAAACTAGCCGGCCACCCAACTGTGAAGCAGTTTATGAGGTTTCTGCAGTACCAGTTCAAGAAATCTGTTTGTTCTGCCTATAGCCCATCTTTTCTTTCAGGGCACAAGCTGAATTAAATAGAACTTAAATCGAACTGCCGATTTAAGTTCACAACGACCCTGTGAGGCAGATTTAAAGCAGAGGCGGAAACTGGGCCAGTGCAATTTTAATGGGAACTGAGTTTCTCCGTGGTCTCTTTTCATAATGGCCCATTGGTTTTCCAACCAATCAAAGCTAACAAAAGAGTAGTTTTCAAAACCCATCGCAACTTTAATTCAAAATGTTAATAACTCAGGCCTTTAATCTGGCTTCTGTCAGCTCTTAGCAGCTCAGACATGCATTTTGTAGAGACCCAGTAGCGCGCTTACTAGTTCCTGCTCCTGCTTGTTTACAGAGTTACGCGCACATAATAGATCAGAAGATCTCCGGTAAACAAAATGGACCGTCCCATTTCAGAAGGTGGAGAAGGGTCCGCTTTCCCGATTGCTTCTCTAAATAACTTTTGTAAATTAAATCTGCAAGGAGGAAAAGCAGCAGGCCCGGGAGCTCTCCAAGCCCTTTGCTTCTTTTCATGCTGATTTCCCAAACGGAGTTTGTAATATCGCGGAGAACAAGTAAATGACGTTACTGTTTCACCCTATTTTGAAGAGGTATAGGCTACTTTATGACTTTAGAACTTTTTTTTTGTCACGTCACTGAATTGCATGTTTAAACCTGGCAGTTTTTGAACCAGGCGAAAGGAGCTTTTTTAAAGCTTGATTTTTAAAGCTTGGGTTTTTTTTTCTTTTTTATTCCTACGCACCCATCATCTTTCGTTAAGAAGGGATTTCTCTTCCTCTAAGTTGCGGTGTAGACGCAGGGGGGTGTTGAAAGTTTAGTTCACGTGTTTTGCATGCAACGCCTACCTTCTCTGGCTTAATCTCTCCCGGCTTCATTCCAGACTCCGAACTGTGCAGTGTAAGTAAGTGTAAGTACCAAAAACTGTAATTCATATTTTTTAAAATAATAATAATTTAGACCGGAAACTCAAAATAGTATACATTATCTTTGTATCTTTTCTTTTATGTACACCGAGAGAATTTGCACCAAGACAAATTCCTTGTGTGTCCAATCACACTTGGCCAACAAAGAAATCAATCTATCTGTCTGTCTGTCTGTCTGTCTGTCTGTCTATCTATCTATCTATCTATCTATCTATCTATCTATCTATCTATCT